TCAAATGTTCCTCAACTCTTGAATTTTATATAGATTTGAAGGGGGTTACCAAATATGATTAAAATACCCATCTCCCAATTCTGTTGTAGTGGAGGTATCTTATTCCAGTTGTCACTCTCAGCAAAAACCAAGGGCATGGATAAGAAACAAGGTTTTGAATACGAGTTATAATCCTCAGAGATGCACTTTTCATTGCAAATTATCTGTATGATGAAATGCCACAATTTTACAGAGATTCCTACCAGCCTACTTGTTAGATGATAAGTATCAGATAAATCTGATAAATGAAGCTCACTTTGTTGTTTTTTTAAACTCCCTTAATTCTGATGATGTTAGCCTTGTGTGGTAGTCACAAGGAAATACACCCTAATTCTACTAGCAAAAATCTGTTCAAAAAAATTGGATCACAGCTGCCTCTCAGTATCATTTGGCCAAATATCCCTTTTACATATTCCCCACTATTGTAACTCTACACACTTGTTGCAATCCATAAGCCCAATTCATTCAGTTCCAAGCAGTTTCTACTTTCCTGAAATGTATTTCAAAAAATTATGTTGGAGATCAATTTATTTTTTAATTATTTTTCATAATTCCCCCCGCCCCCCTACAGTCACTGTACTTTTCTCTTCAATTCTTTCACTTCTTTCCTTTCATATCCATTTTCTCCCTAAGATCTACTCTTGACACTACCAGGAAAAAAGTCTCCCTAAACTCTCTCACACCACTCTGGAGTCAGATTTCTAATCTAGTGGCTTGATACAGTTCTTTGCATCTCACCAACTAGAATGTAAGGCAGAATGCTAAGTATATACTCAGTTTATTGCAAAACATTGATTTTATGGCTTTGCTATTAGGAGCCCTTGTTGGAAAGATTATCACAATTTAAGTCTAACTCAATCCCCTATTGAATTTAGTGGGTTTTTTTGTCTTCTGAGTATTAACCAATCAATCCTATCTTGGGGGCTGCAATCCATCCAGGTGGTGTAATACAAAAACACTCATGGGATTATTCATCATCTAGAACCAGCCTTTTTCCTAACGTCAACTCCATTAACTGTCTGGAGGAGTAATTGTCTCCTCCAGTTCAGAGTTCAAATAAATCCACTTGTACAAGTTTCTTGTTCAGTATGGATTATCCATATAATTTCCCTAATGCTTTGTAGCTCCTCTACTACATAAGGTTTTAAATATCCTTGTATAAAAACTATTTGTGGCAATTTCATAGATATAAAAGAAGTCAGCACTTTTTGAATTTTCCAACTCAAAAAACAAAATTGTCTTATATTGATGGGATTACCCAAGTAATGGGGTTACAGTATGTTTCATCTTATTATTCATTAAAAATGTCCTCTATTGAATATTTCTTTCTATGATACCTTTAGGAGAATAATGCCCATTACTGTAAGTAACGATTACACAATAAATTTGTAACAATCTTATCTTGGAATTTATAATTTAGGAGATATACATAGGCAATTCTTTTTGTACCCCAAATGTCTTTTAGATTTGTTTACAACCCTTTACAACTTCCAAATCAAAGCATCTTAGTTCATTTTAAAGGGAACCTTTTACATGTTTTTGTATAATGCATATGATATTCATTATAGAGAGAAATATGGTTTGGGAGCAACATAAAACTTTGATTCATTACAGAGTTACACACCCCTTTTAAATTGTGACAAGATCAATATGTAGTGGCTCATTTACATCTAGAATAACCAAATTTATAGATTTAAAAAAAAAATCAGTAATTTCTCTTGAAACACTTTGAAATTACTTTGTTACCGCTGTATCAGTGGTGGGTTGCAGGCGGTACGCCCCGGTATGGGCATACCGGAGCCTGCCCAGAGCACTGGATACCGTTCCAGTACAGTGCTCCAGAGGACCCACCCACCTGCCCGAGCTCCTTACCGGTCTTTTAAGGCTTCAGCGCTTACGCGCACACACATGGCGCATACAGCACCTGCGCGATGCTCCACTGAGCAGCTGGAGGCTCACGGAGGCCCTAAGACACATGTGTGTGTTGCGCGTGTCAATTTGGATGCTGCCGGGCCCGTTCCAACCGTACCGGTTGGAGCGGGATCCGGAACCCACCAATGCGCTGTACCTAATTTGGATCACTGCTTGAAGGCAAGTAACGATATCAGTCCAATATCCTCTTAACTCTCAGTAAGTTTCATGAATTGGTATGTTTAGAATTTTTCTGTAAATTTACATTTGGACCAATAACCGTTGCTACTATGGCAGTAGCTATTAACTGTAACATCCGACAGGAGATCTAACAGGTTAGAATCAAACATGTTAAATGCCGTATGACAGTCAATACTGCTGAAGTCCTTTATTTAAAAATAAAATGATTTGGGGGACAGTTGCAGTACGTATCTTTGATTCGTTGTATGATTATATGAAGAATCCTGATCAATGCATTTCTGATACAAATGGTTATTTTTTTGCTGAGTTTCTGGTTTGCACATGTATATAGACATTGTTTTTATTATATAAGAAACATCATTAACCACAGTCCAAATAGGAAAATATGTCCCTGGACTTGCTATGTTAGCAAATGTTTGGGATGAAGCACCATGTATCAGCTGTTGCTAATGATGTCATGTTGGCATTGCAGTGCAATCCAGAATTAAAAGTATGGTCACGTTTCAAAGCTGAAATACTTCACTTCATTGTCTTTACGGAAGTAACCTTTCAAATAATTCCTCTTTTTTGTACCGTGTCTTTTAAGTTTATACAGTCTGACTATATCTGGTATCGGCACTCTTCAGTGATTTCCTAAAGGGAATACCTCACTTTGAGCAATTTTTTTTTTTTTGTAACTGTCAAGTGAGTAGAATTATGTGTCTTTGTTTTTAATTGTAAAATGCTATGAACTGAACCATGCCAAGGAACGAAATAATCATGGCTTTTATGGTTTACCATTGTGAGACACTTATTTCCTTAAAATAAATTTTGTGTTTGTTTATAAGAATTAGGTCTTTTCAAGATTTTAATTATGCATTGTGGCATCATTTTATTACCCTGTTGGATTTTTTTAATTTGACTGGATTCTGGTAAACTTAATTTTGAATGTGAATACAAATTAAAAGAATGGGAAAAATATTTTGTAGTTTTGGCGTATTTCTTCATACTATAAAATTCATAATTTTGAAATATGAACCACCAGATTATAAAATAAAAAATCTTTAATTTCTGTAAAATTGCAAGAAAAAACAAATAGGCTGAAATGAAATATTGAAAGGATAGGATTTTTTTTACAGTTATAATCAATAAACTATTAATTGGTATAAATGATTATTCAACTAATTTTCAACATTGTTTCAATTGCAAATCTAAACTAAAAACCAACCCCAAGGGCCAAGAAATTACATAAGAAGTTGGAAGTGTGTTGAAATCTTATCTAAGCACCAAACTAAATTTTGGGATTTTCACATTTAAATTAAGATTATTTTAAAATGCAAATAACAGCTGTCTGATTTCAACATTATAACAGATGGGTGGGTAAGTAAATTGCTTGTAATCTTGAATTAATCTCTTAATATTGGCATGTATTAAGAGTTGGGAATCCTGACACATTTATCATTTTTGGTTAAATGCTGCATTTACAAAATATACAGAACCAAAACAACTGTTATTAAACACACGCACCACCATTGCACACCTCACTAGTGGACCTTGCAACCTATACTTGTCACAAATTAAATTATAGCATTATTTTTTTTTTTGCACAAACCCAAAATATAGTTGCTGCAGATCACCTTAAAGCAGCGGTTCTCAACCTATGGGTCAGGACCCCTTTGGGGGGTCGAATGACCCTTTCACAGGGGTCGCCCAAGACCATCGGAAAACACATATTTTCGATGGTCTTCGGAACCGAGACACCAATTTGATGGTTGGGGGTCACCACAACATGAGGAACCTGTATTAAAGGGTCGCGGCATTGGAAAGGTTGAGAGCCACTGCCTTAAAGCATAGCGCATAACCAGGGAATTGCAAAATGGAAAATGTGTACTACTTAGGGTTTCTGACTCAGCTTTGTGTATACACAGCTGTTGTGGCCCAGTTGGAGCTGCCACCAGACTCCAACAGCGAGGAGCCCTATGAGTCAGTTCTGGAAGATGTGGAGGACCCTGGACAGGGTTCCGACTAAGAGCAGGGCGCAGAGAGGCTGGTTGGCCACCAGGAGGCACCTGATCCTTGGACCAGTGTGGAGGAGACAAGGGAGTGTGATTGTGGCGTCATGCATTGGAGCAGTGGGGAGGAGACAAGGGAGTTGGTCCTGGATGCCCAGCAATGGAGAGCTAATAGGCGTAAGGAACAGTTACGCAGTTACAGGAGGGGCTTTTTATAACCTGTTCAGNTTTTGTGCTTTTAACTTCTATTTTTAAATGTATTGTTGTAAGCCGCCCGGAGTCCTTCGGGATTGGGCGGCCTATAAATTTATTAAACATCAAACGTCAAATCTAGAGGGAGCACCAAATTTTGGTAAGCACTAATTCATGAATTATTTTTTTCCCACCTTTTCCATATTTTGTGCTTTGTTCTTTTCTCACCTTTTAGAAGAAGGATAGAGATATATCTTTGATTTGAACAGGGTGTACCGCTTGTACCCTTCCAAGAAGATTATTACAGGTGGAGCATATGTTATGATTTACTTGTCAATCACCCTGTATCTGCAGAAGGAACATACAGGAAACTCGTTAAGTCCTTGCCTTATTACGGTGGATTGACTATTATAATGGGTTCCTTTCATCTTGATGAGGCATACAAATTGACTCAAATGAGTAGGGGAGAAGGAAGTTGCATGCCTTTTTTAAATCTCTTTTTTTTTTCCAGTTTGACAAAACCATTTTTGAGGAAGGGAGAGAGAAGAGTGGTAGCATGTATGAGGAAACATGCCATCCGAGATAAAAAGAAAGAATGATTTAAGGCAGGAATGTTTAAGCCATCCAGCAAAACAGCAATTATTAATGGTCTTTCTTCTGTTTCAGCTAAGCGTTTATACGACTACGCGCTCAAACATAGGCACTGAAAATAACATCGACCTGGTTTTGAATGTGGACAATTTTGATGTGGAAACTAAATTTGAAAGGTAGTTTGAATTTAATTGTTCGGTTTTTACACAATATCTCTTTTGTACCCATCTCATATCAAATTTTAGTAAATTACATTTGATGCCTATTTATATTTGCTTCTGTATTAATATTTGTTTAAATCATTATAGAAATACTTATTGCCCACTAGCCAGTATATTTCATGGAAAAAAAAATCCAGGTCATATATTTGTTTTTCTTCTTATTACAAAAAAAGTTACAAGCTTACAAAATATCAAACCAGTTTCAATTTTAATCCCATTTATGAGAAGTAAGCCCAATTGATGTTAATAGGGTTTACTTCAAAGTAAGTGTGTTTAAAGTGTAATTCTAAGCTTATCTGTATGTTTTTCTGGATTTACACATACTGTATTCTGCTTAAACTTTCCATAAACTTTCTATAATTTAATAACAAAAGTTTCTTTTTACTACTGCTAACTCCTTCTTTGCTGTAATTCTGTATCACATGGGATGGATAGAAATTTTTTTTTTTGCTACTGTTCCTTAGGCAAGAAACAAAACGAGAAATAGTGCTTCTTATGCAGTGTGGATTTTGACAGGAATCGCAGAAGCGCGTTGCAAAAGTGAAAGTAGCTATTTCCCCCCACTACTGTCTGTTCTTTTCTCATTTATACGAAAACCAGTTTTATTTTTTTGTTAGACCTTTAGAGGCTTAAATAAAACGGAGATGACAGTAATAGCCCACGGGCAGAGTGTTTACTGGACTGCAAAAAAATGTAGATGTTGTACGGAGAGAGTCGTGTTAATCTATGATGGCAAAAAGTCGAAGAGACCAGTAGCACTTTTCCAACTAACATGTTATTAGAAGGAATAAGCCAGTGGTAGGTTCCAAAAATTTTTCGAACCTACTCTGTGGGTGTGGCCTCCTTTGTGGGAGTGGCTTGCTGGCCATGTGACCTGGCGGGAGTGGCTTGCCGGCCATGTGTTCTCCCTCCCTCCCTCTCTCTCTCTCTCCCTCTCTCTCTTTCCTTCCTTTTGTCTCTCTGTCCCTTTTTCCTTTTTTTCTTTCATCTCTCACTTTTTCTTTCTTTCTTTTTTCTTTCTTTCTTTTTTCCTTTCTTTCTCTTTCTCTCTCTGTGTGAGTCTGTGTGTGTGTGTGTGTGTGTGTGTGTGTGTGTGTGTG